TTTAAACTCCTCCCATAGTTGGTTTGGAAAGAGAGGATGACAATGTACAAGAATTCGCACAAAGAGTTTCCGAAGCTGTGCTGGCATCATCCAATGTGCTGCTTTGTCAATGGCATTGCGTCATTCATTATCATCTTCAATTAAGCCTCGTGCTAAACATGCGTCCGTGAAAGTTCTACATACTTCTTCATTGACTGTTCGCAAATCTTTAAAACTCTTCGCGCCTTTCACATGTAATAACAGAAGCCGAAGATGAAATAATTCAGTCTTGCGCGGGTTCACCGAGTACATACGTCCGATCGAATTGAAATAATTGCCGCGTTTTACCCATTTCTTCACCTTCTGGCCATTCATAACCATATTCTTATATGTGTAATGAGATGGAATGTCTGAATACGTATACTGGTGAGCATCAGGATCTCTGGCGTTCAATCGGAAATATGCAATGAGCGTTGATGTACCAGTCATTGCTTCTCGAATTGATTCTTCATCCATGCTCGTAGGAAGCGTGACACTATGTTCATTGGGGAGACGGACAGTTAATCTAATTACAGGATGGCTTTTTTCCTGCATTTTTTTATCACAAATATGCCAGTATGCTTCATTTGGCCCGACGTATCTTGCTTCAACATGATCTTGTATTTCGTCTCGATTCACAACTTGAGGGCCTCCTGGTCCATCCACGTTGTCATTTGGTCTCGTTGACACTCTAATTGATGCAGCACCATGGCCTTTATAGATATACTTGTAAATATATTTTGGTGCATCAACACTTGCTACAACTTCTACATTAATGTGGCAGTCGAAGATCACAGATAGAAGAGGACAATAGGGCACGACCCATCGATTATCAACCATTCGTCCTCCAGGGAGTTCATATTGGTGTCCAGTGTCTCTCCTACAGTATGTTGGATGACTACGAGCATCAAGCCTCATATCCGATTGGAATGGCTTTGGAAAACATTTCGAGCACTTTCCATCTCTAAAACACCAATCACCGCAGGGGTCATGAATCATATGCTTTAATACAATCCTATGCAATTCTGGATACAAATTTGGATCTGGAATTTCTGCCGAGATAATCTTGTCAATCTCTTCAGCACTCAATAACTTGTTCTTTAATGTTACCAACAAATGGACATGGGGCAATCCCCGCTTTTGAGATTCAATTGTATATACATGAGCAGTTACTTCCCCAAAAATGTTTTTCTTCACAATCAACTCCATTAAATGTTTGAGTTTCATATTGAATACTCGACTACAGATGTCTGGCCTATCAGCTGTTTGATAACCGTCATCAAGATTTTCTTTGATTTCAATCCAATTTGGGTTACATGTCATCGTAATGAAGAGATCAGGTTTGCCGAATTTACGTACCAACGTCATAGCATCCTGATAATGTTGCACCATGTTCCTAGGTGATCCTGCAAAAGTAGATGGTAAGATTATCATTTTACCAACCTGAGCGTCCCTATCATCTGCGACACCCTGCAAATAATCGGCCAACCCCGAATATGATTCAGCCCGTATGTCTTTCTGATGGAATCTGAGAAAATCTACGCGATCTTTCTCTACTTTCACGTAACTATCCACGAGCCATTGTTGGAATAATCGTCGACCTGATATTATAGAATTGAAAGATTCATTATTTCGTTCTGCCATTCTGTATCTAGTGTAGGCTTCCCTGGTAACACGAGTTCTAGATTTTTTCAATCCCTGCACGTGGTTTTCATCATTATTTATAATCAGCTTGAGTTCTTTATCCCAACCAGGCGTGCCATGAGGATAAAACAAAGAATATACCCATGGTTCAACGTTCTTATCCATAGTGCTCACAAATTTCAGTTCCTTGTCCTTCTTGTTTCGAACTGTCACATAAGTGTCAGGGATATCTCCATCCGCAGTCGTGGAAAAAATCGCAGCCACCTCATTCGAACGTTGAACATTATATCGGTTGCGATCGAGTTTTTCCCCTGACTCAAATATTAAATGCAGTTCGTTGTTTGGTGCATTATCATGATTCATATTTTGTTGTGCACGTAATTCCTCAGCCATCATATGATAAGATTTTGCAAACTCATTGTGATCACGCATAGTTTGATCAATTATTTTCAATATATCACGATCCAAATCAGCAAATTGAGTGTGTACACTATTGACTGCTTCTTCAGAGTCAACTAAGAATAATTGTCCAAAAGAAGGTAATTCATTGTGTCGGGGGTAAACCGAAGTATTCATCTGATAATAAATTTGACCTTGGATTTTGAAACAAAAGGGACCTGGTCTGCTGTTATTGAAATTCACCAAGTTGGCATTGAAGGAGGCGAACGAAAAAGAACTATTATAAGCTCGAATTCGTTCGAAAAATAAAGAAGATTTTACATGCGAGCCATCGAAGAGAGGTAACAATTGGTTGGGGAACGGTGGCAATGGATCCAACTTCACTTTCCCGTGTGAACAGCAATCGAAAAATGAATCTCTTTTTTGTGAGACGATCTCACAGCGATAATGTTTTGCATTACAATGCTTACAAATCTCAGACATCTTACCACCATAATGTCGTTTGATATTATTAACATTGACTGCTGCTGATAGAATTCGATCATCATTAGCTTCAAGAAGACATGCCTGTGAAGAATTCTCTGCTAAAAGTGGTTGAGTGGACATACCGTGTGGAATAGCTGATTGATTCGAATTACATGGATTTGTGAGCACAACCTGTATTGATGATGAGCTTTCTGCTTGTGTTCTTTTTTTATTCTCGCGCAATGCACGTTGATACTCCTTATTATATTCACGTTTTCTCCGTTTACATTGTTCTTCTTCTTCAGGTGTACGAACGATTTTTCTTCGTCCCATTTTCGATAATTGATTCAAATATCTAATCTAATCCACGACAAACACATTAAATGAATATCAAATGCAAATGTGCACTTTATTAGTTTAGTTTTTTGGAAATCAGCATAAACTGTGAGAAAAAGTCAATTATGCTTCTGAATTTCATTTTAATGTTTTGCTAACCCAAAGCATCAAATTAAATATCACATTCATTAAAAAATCAATAGTCATCACAAACATGAATTTCAAGTCCAGCCAAATTTCAAGTTCATCAGATAAGCATCAATAATCAACACAAAAATCAATCGTTTCTCGAACCAAATATCAAATTCAACAGAAAATCAATAATCAACACAAAAATCAATTGTGGTTCAACCTAAATATCAAATTTACCAGAAAATCATTAGTCAATACCAAAATTGATTGCATATATTAAATCAATATCGGGGTTCAAATGGGTATGAACACGAAATTAAAAACCAAAAATTGATAACTCAACAAAATAATGTCCACTTTATTCAGAGAATCTCCCCCAAGAGCCCTCAAGTGGACTGCGTTTGGAATCTGAAAAAAGAGAAAAAATCATATGATGAGTGCCTTATATATATACGTAATATTTTCTATGTATAGTATTGCATGGATCTAAACAACGTACTTCAATGGTTCTGCTGAATATTTCTTCGAGCCCTGTGAATATGTATATCGAGTGACAAACAATACAATCGGATCCACAATTGGATTACTTGAGTTGTTCTTCAGGATTCTGCCGATAACACAACTGAGTTCAGTCAAATCTGGAATATATTTTTGTGAGAAAAAAATTTCTACCTCATATAAATGCAATACAATGTAAGCTTCACGCTTATAATATAAATCTACTTGATAGGATATTTAGGCAAGAAGATACACTTATTGTTTGTGATGAGAGGATCATCGAAATAATGATAGCCCAACCCGTATCAGGACAAATGTGATTGATGAAACACCAGTTTTAACGAATTGGCCATTTTCATGAGAACAAAAAATATGTGAATTTCGATCACTGGTCATGTTCAAGACGATTCCTCCCAGAAATAGCTTATTCAAGAACTTAGAGTAGAATATACATACCTCTATTATTCAGTCAATATCACATTTTTCAGAGCTCTGTCAATGCACTTTGTCAACTGGGAAGAAATCCAATTGGATTACCTGAGCTGTCCTCCAGAAACTGTAGAAACACAATAACCGAGTTCAACGCAAACTTGGAACAGACTCATTACATACATTTCAATCATGAACATATATCATGAAATGTCATGAATCATAATACTGACAATTGATTGAAATTAACAATTATATTGAATAATCTTTATTCCGTATTCCACCAATGAAAAGTCTGAGAAATTTGATTTTTCCAGGTTTCGAAATTATGACAGGAATGTACTATTTGAAAACAGTCGAAGAAACAATAAACTATCAATCTACAAACTTCAATGTATTTAGTCATAAACCAGGAAACATTCGAAACATTTTCAAGAGAAGAAGAATATTTTTGAGGGGTGAATATGAAGAGGATAGAAAGGAAGATTTTCCATAGACAATTATTCCAGGAATTTCCCTGAGAATGGAATAATGAATCGAAAAATTCTAAGTCATTGGAATCATCAGCTATAAGAAGGTACCATCTGTTGCGCAACCTCGTGCAGGAACTCTTTTGGCCAGTCTATATACTGAGCCGCAGAGTATTATCGTTCAATTGTTAGAGTAAAATTTTTTTATTGAGCTTGAGAATGATTCAGAGTGGGTTAGATGAATCAAACAGTGTTCAGTTCCAATTATGATAATCATAATTATTTCTTGCAATGCAAATATCCGAGAATCATTCCTTTCGATACTTTAGGAACTCCAGTGGCTGAGTCTCTCTCTCTCTCTCGAACGCACCAGTGAGTGTATCCAAATACCAAACATAAAATTTTGTGGATTTGCCGTTTCCTTGAACACACAATAATCGCAAAGAAATAATAATTTCATTTAAATTAAGAAAAAAGCAATAGTTCTTGTTGATCTTTACTCGTCACAATTTTCTTCTTTCTGACCTCGTTGATTTGTTCCTTTCCCAGTGTATCTGTAAATATTCTTTGCAACACTAAAGATTCTGCACTCCTCTACTGAACACAAAATTTGAACGAAATTTTCCATTTATTTTTGAATACTAAATATTTTGCAAATAATACATTAAAATCAATAAATACACCAAAGGCAAATGGAATTTTGCGAAGAAGACACTCTGAAGTGTATTGAGGGTAAAATCCACGACAGTAACTCCATTAATTAAATCAATAATTAAATAAATCACTAACTGGTATTGGTAAGTATCTGGTAATCATTAAAGTCTCGACTTCAACTACCAAAAAAAGGAAAAAATCCCATCAATTTACCGGGAAATTGATTGATTAACCAAAATAAAGAGAACGATGGATCTAGTTATCAATTGAACAATTAATGAACAGTCATTAATGTCAAAATTAATATGAGAACGAATTTCTATCATTTTGAAACACTTTTCAATGACTTCAGACCGTGGAGAGCGACGAAATTAAATTTTTGTCAATGAAAAAACGAAGTGCTGCTACTCCTTCGATTAATTAGTTAGATATCATCGTCTTCTGGTTCAGCCTCTGGATCAACGAATGGCTTGACAATTGGCTGGACAATTGGCTGGACAACTGGCACGACAACTGGCACGACAACTGGCTCAACAACTGGTACAGCAGGACGAATTTCCTGAAAATCAAAACAAAGAAAGGAAAATCATCTATTTCCTTCAAATGAAGAACCGAGCAAAAATTTTTTTTAATTCAAAAGTTTGTTGATCACTGCTTACACGATGAACATTGGCATTGATTAGAATCAGTTGCTCAAAGGGGATGGGCTGTCCTTCCCTGCGATCAACGCGTGCTCCAGATGGGATTCTGAGAAACAGACGATTTGGCACATATGNACCATCGATTTGAGCATTACGAAAGACATTTTTAATCCATGCTTCAACAGCTAAAAAATGAAAATTGTGTCAGAAATAGGTACCTAAGATAAGCTTATAGAAATATTCGAATCTAAAGAGAAGTTTTGAATGGGAAAAAATTGGATTAGAGGAAAAATTCGGAAATAAAAAAAGTTCCAATGTCAATGAAAACGAAAAATACATATTCATTGAAATGATTGAAAAAAAAATAATATAATAAAATTTCAAGGATGTAATTTTTGATAACCTTGTTATGTCGAAAGAAATTTTAAACATAGAAAGAGTTGAATACATTTGATAAACATGGAATTGGCAAACAAAATTGAGGAAAAAAGACATCCTGAAGAGCAACAAATCCAGATAAAAAACTCAAATCTTACCAATAAACGGGTCAGCTGAAAATGAGAGATCCTCCCAGCGAGTTGGGGTATACACCTGCATATCCTCTCTGACATCATCTGACCAAACTCCTACATTTTCCAGGACTGTTGTGATGTTGATATTGAGCTCGAAATTAACGTTACCACCATTGAACTGTCTTTGATTTGCTTCAATGAGTTTGGAACGTGCCCCTTCAATATGGAGGATCTGTCGAGATAGAGGTAAAAAAGAATTAAAACATTGAAAAATGAAAATTTATGAAATAAATTAAATAACATAAATATGAAAACATTTCTTTTTTTTTCTTTCTCTTACTGCGTTCAATGTGGCCATTTGAGAGCACATAGATGCACTCTCTCCCCAAGCACAACCCTGAACCTGTCTCCCTCTCATGTTGTCCAGTTGAAATTTAAAGAGGGTAAATTTCTTCACTCTCCCAACGCTTGTGATTGCATCGACTCTCCTAACAACAGCGATAATTTCTCTGGAACAGAAAAAAAAAAGGATATTTGGATTATACAATCAGATGATTAAATTTATTAACTCAGTGGTTAAACAAATAATATCAATTTCTCTCTGATCAAGATGTCAAGATGGCGACGATGCTTGAATTAAACGGAAAATCCTATTCATTCACACATTGAATTTTCTCGAGGGGAATTCAAAGAAAAATGAATACTTACACGTCATCGTTCATCTCATACCCGTCGATCACTTCAGAAGGTGTCAATGTAGCCATTTTTAATGGATTAAATAAATATCTTTAATCACTGAAATAATTCGTCACTTGAGTGCCCCTTGCTGTCCCGACGTCAAATGACGAATTTGTTTATAATTCGACAAATGAAGATTGGAAAAACAATACACTCTAGCAGAGCTTAGGCTTTCACCTTTAGCTTACTTCAAGTGATCAGAGAGAAATTGAAATAATAATAATTGAAAAATGATAATAACCAAAAATATTGATGATGAATTAAAAAAATGAACTAAAATGAAATTTATAAAAGAATAAATAAATTAAATGGAATGAAAATTCGAAATCATAATAATAATTGCATTGAATTCCACGATTGCAGGGGCATATGAAATTCAAACCCGTTTTTTCTTCATTTCAAGAAAATTAGAAACGTGTCGAAAAATTTGAGGAAATTTAAGATTGATGTGAGCTTGGAACGATAGAGAAATTTCTTCCTGAATAATAATAATAAAAGGTACGATTAGAAACTTTTAGTACCTCACGTTTTCTACATTCTTAGTAACTGTCAATACTTGATCGAGAGATAATCGAGCACCTTCTGAACGCGAGAGTGCAAATCCGTTAGTAACTTCAATGCTCAATCTTTTTGCCACCTCATCATCCTCACATATTCTGCCACGAAGTTCAATCAATTCCCCTTTCTCCCAATTTCCTGATAAACCTTCGATTGATGCAATTTTTACTGTCAGTTTCAAAAATCCATCAGTCACAGCACCCACGGCGCATGTGTTCCCGTTCTGTTGAGTTAGTCTGAAAGGAAATTTTACGAATCCTCGTAACGCTGAAAAGAAATATGAAGTCATCAATACCATCACTGAAAGTATAGTGAACAATTTTAACTCGCTGAAAGCTCGGAAGAAGTCACCAACGAATGCACCTTCACTCAGAGGAAGGTCACTCCACTCAACGACTCTAAACACTGGAGTTGAATTTCCACTGGGACCGAAATATTTCCCAAGTGGTTTAATGATGCTGTTTTGATCCAACAGGAACCTCAAATGGGTGTTTATTCCAAGTACAGTCGCTCCTTCAACATAAATTATCTGCAAATCATGTATTTTTTTAGTTACATTGAATTAACCACGCTATCTTCTTCTTTCCTCATCAAAAATGATAATGATAATGAATGACAATGGATCAAAATGGGCAGAGTGAGTGATCTTGACTCCATTCTCGAGCTCTCTTCAGGTGCTCCAAAATGAAACAAAGTTTATCTCATTTATGTCATGGCTTTCCACGATTATCGGATATAATGAGAAGTGGGTCCTCACTGTATTTGGAATAATATGTTTAACATGATATTGAGCTGTTTCGCCTTCCAGGCAGCAGTCAATCGTCCTTCCGAGACTATTATTTACGGTAAATCTCAATAATTTACGTTTTATCGGCCCACCAGATAAAATGAGAGAATTTGTTTGCTCCACAAATCCAATAAAATCTCTAGAAAACGTGATTCCATGAATTTTAATAATTAATAATGATTGGAAATTCAGACATGTGAGGTTAGGATATCGATCAGCTTGATATTTTTCTCCTTTTATAACAGAATTAAATCGATGATTGGATCAATTCACTAAAAAATCATCAATTGACCTTCTTCAACACTTAAATGATTGCAGAATTACTACTTACACTTTTTGTTGATATTGGAGAGCATCAAACACACAATTTGCAGTGAAAGAATAATTCATGTCATCCAAAAATGAATTACTCATCACTCAGCCACTGTTCTCTCAAAAATTTTCACACAACTCTCGTTTATCCGACGCTTTACGTCACGTTATCCAGTAGTAATTCTGTTGCTCAGGATCTTTCTCTTCTGCCTAATCAAGGAAATAAATCCTCGAGAACGACAGCAGTGCAGATGCTCAAAATTCTTCTGTCAACACAAGGTTAACTTCACGAGTCAAACATGATACTGCGCACAGTTCAATGTAAATGTAAAAATAAACAACCGCGCAGTCATAGAAACCATTGATTGATCCATCGACCAATCAGGATACGAATAAAAAGTTAACAATCAAAACAATCATTCATTGTCAATCAACTTTATAAAAAAGGACTTATACTTTTGTATATGTTACATATATGTAGACCTCTATAATACATGTATGAAGACGTACATTTTGCTGTATATGAACAGGTATATGATAAAATATATCACACATCTATGATTAGTATATATTGACATACAAAAATCATATATTTCTCCCATATATTAGAGGATATACAAAGTTTTTGTGGAACTCATATATGTCAAATATAGTAAATATACGAAATATATGTCTCATATACTTCAACCTATTTATAGACATATATTTTTTTCCATGGGGGAATCAGAGCGTTTCTGAGAGCTTGGAAAGGTGCGTCTTGATCAGAGGTAATAACTACATCCTCTACTTCAGCAGCTGATTCTGTATCAATCAATGGTAATGTTCAGTAAAACTTAGCTGTTTCTGTTACAATTCCGGAATTGCGGAATTGGGCCTCCAGCTGTATGAACCAAGTGCTGGGTTTGTCACGCGAGAACTCCGGTGCGTTGATCTGCGGCAGTGCGGAGGTTGTCGTTGTCGTGACAGTCGGGACCATCAGCGTGCCGCCTGTTGTGGTAGACATCGTATCTCACGTTGTTGGTTTTGAATGAGAAGCTAGGATTATCGATTTTCAAAATTAAATTTCGACGAGAAATAAAATTGAAAGTATAAATGTGACGACAAATAAAGGCGTTATGAGTCTCTATTTATCACCAACACAACACAACGTCTCTGGATACTCAGCAATGTGTCGGTGCAAGGTCACTGTTCACTTGAATACGGTACTTTGTTTTGATTTTACCGAAACACTGAGAAATCAACGGTTGGCACTCGGACGCTTCGAATGTTCTAGAAACTTCGCGATGCTGTATTTAATATGTTTGTTGAGAAAAACCATAAGGTGAAAATAATGTTTTATCAAGCACGTGAAATAAAAATTACACTTGCACTCGGAGTTGTGCGGCACTGGAAAGCTAGCTGCGCAGGTGTTCACCAAGGATAGGATAAAACCATTGGGAAGCGCGGATAAAACTTTTGAGCAAAAATGCACGCCACGCCGCGAGTTAATTTTCCCTTTCGATTAGCGCGAATTTCCCTTATTTTAATCACGTCGGGGTCACCAATGTAGGGATTGAGGAGTAGTCGGGAAGGTAACGATCCACTAACAAATGCAATTAAACTAATAATTACAGATTTATTATCCGCGTCAAATTAATACAAAGGTGAACAGAAAATAATATGATCTGATCAAGTGTGCGATACGAGCTGTACTTTTAGACTGAATTATATTCGCACGGAAAAGTGTCAGCGAGGCTGCCGAATATCCTTCCGATTTGATGAATCAGAAAAGAATACGCGTGGCACTGAAGGTGCGAGTGAAACGGCAAATGCCTGTGCTCGTCGTTAACCAGTGTTCGCGTTTTAGGATGTAGCGAGGCACTACAGGGGAGGGGTCTGACATTACATTTTTAAAAAATTTATCCCTCCGGAAACATGCGCTGATTTTTTATAATCTAAAAAAAAATTAATTTCGGGGAAAAAACATGATCATGCTGTTTCTCCGGGGGGTTGAAGACAGCCGCATGTATCCGGAGAGGTGAAAATTTGGGGGGGTAAGGGGAAGGCGTCGGACATTACATTTTTGTAAAATTTACCCCTTCGGAACCATGCACTGATTTCTCTCTATATAATAAAAAAATAAGCCCAAAAATTCAGGCGACGCTCAAAATTCAGGCAACGCTTGATCCGGCCCATATATGGGGGGTGCCCATATATGGGGGGGTGCCCATATGTAGGGG